GAATGGGAGGAGGAGTTGAAATGGTTCGCGACTGGGAGGTGCAGTTGTTTATTGCGAACCGAGCATAGGTGTTCTGCAAAGCGGTCCCCGAGTCTCCGCTTGGTTTCCCCGATGTAGAGGAAGCCACACCGGGTACAGCGGATGCAGTATACCACATTGGCAGATGTGCAGGTGAACATCTGCTTGATGTGGAAAGTCTTCTTGGGGCCTGGGATGGGGGTGAGGGAGGAGGTATGGGGGCAGGTGTAGCACTTCCTGCGGTTGCAGGGAAAAGTGCCGGGTGTGGTGGGGCTGGAGGGGAGTGTGGAGCGGACAAGGGAGTCACAGAGAGAGTTGTCCCTCCAGAAAGCAGATAAGGGTGGGGAGGGAAAGATGTCTTTGGTGGTGGTATCGGATTGCAGATGGCGGAAGTGTCGGAGGATGATGCGCTGGATCCGGAGGTTGGTGGGGTGGTACATGAGGACGAGGGGGATTCTTTTTTGGTTCTTATTGTGGGGAGGGGGTGTGAGGGATGAGTTGCGGGAGATGTGGGAGACACGGTTGAGGGCGTTCTCGACCACTGAAGGGGGGAAGTTACGGTCCTTGAAAAACGAGGACAACTGAGATGTACGGAAATGGAATGCCTCAGCCTGGGATTCAAAATCTCCCCCTACCGCATCCCAAAACCAGCCCGGCTCGTCCCCGCCTCCCTAACCTGTTCTTCCTCCCATCTATCCCCTCCTCCCACCTCAAGCCGCACCCCCATCTCCTACCTACTAACCTCATCCCGTCCCCTTGACCTATCCCCTCCCTAACTCCCTACCTACACTCACCTTTACCGGCTCCATCCCCGCCTCTTCGACCTGTTTGTTTCCTCTCCACCTATCCTCTCCTCTATCCATCTTCTATCCGCCTCCCACTCTCTCCCTATTTATTTCAGAATCCCCTTCCCCTCCCCCATTTCTGATGAAGGGTCTAGGCCCGAAACGTCAGCCTTTCTGCTCCTATGATGCTGCTTAGCCTGCTGCGTTCATCCAGCTCTACACCTTGTTGTCTCGGATTCTCCAGCATCTGCAGTTCCTACTATCTCTAAGAAGGGGCAGGTTTTTTTCAACCTTACGGTCATTAGGACAGAATCACAAGAAAACCAACCTTAGAAAGGACACAGCAATTTATACAGCTGGAAAACAGGAAACGCCAATTGATTTGCACAGAGGCACAGAAACATTAGTTAATTGATTAAATTCAAACCTGGAAACTCGACTGTGATTGAACTGGGCATCACCCAAGGGATGTTACAAGGATCAGATGCCTCTGTAGCCCTATCCACATCGAGGGAGGTTTGTATTATGAGAAGTGACATTATCTTCCAGCTATGAAGTAGGGCGACGTGGGAGGAGAACACCAACAATATGCATTGAAATAGCATTTTTAACTTAGTAAAAACTCCAAGGCACTGAGTCACACAAGGAGATATTAGGGAAGGTGACTAAACATTTTGTGAAAGAAGCAGCTTTTAAACAGAGTCTTAAAGGAGGGAGAGAGAGAGAGAGCGCGGTAGGAAGGTTTAGGGAGGGAATTCCAGAGCTTAGGTTCCAGACAGCTGACGGCACTTTATTTGTTATTGTGGGATGTGGGTTTCACCGTCTGGGCCAGCATTTATTGCCTATCCCTAGTTCATCTTGAGAAGGTGGGGGTGAGCTGCCTTCTTGAACCTCTGTGATCCATGTGCTGTAGGGACCCACGCTGCACAATGGAGGGAATTCCAGGATTCCGCCCCAGCGACAGTAAAGGAATGGTGATATATTTCCAAGTCAGGATGGCGAGGGGCTCGGAGGGGAACTTACCGGGAGGTGGTGTTCCCATGTATCTGCTGCCCTTTGTCCTTCTAGATGGAAGTGGCCGTGGGTTTGGAAGGTGCTGTCTGAGGATCTTTCATGAATTTCTGCAGTGTGTCTTGTAGATGGTACACACTGATGCTACTGAGCGTCGGTGGTGGAGGGAGTGGATGTGGTGCCATTCGAGTGGGGGCTGCTTTGTCCTGGATGGTGTCGAGCTTCTTGAGCGTTGTTGGAGCTGCCCCCATCCAGGGGCAAGTGGGGAGTATTCCATCGCACTCCTGATTTATGCCTTGTAGATGGTGGGGCAGGCTTTGGGGAGTCAGGAGGGGAGTTACTCGCTGCAGTATTTCCAGCCTCTGACCTGCTCTTGGAGCCGCTGTGTTTATGTGGCAGGTCCAGTTGAGCTTCTGGTCAGTGGTAACCTCAGGATGTCACCTCCAATGGTGGTAGAGTTGGTGGGGTGGGGTGTACAGGAAATCAGAATCGGGGGGACATCACATTCATTACCTGCCCGTAGGTGCCAAGGAGAATCTCCTTTACCCCGTCGAAGTCTACATCGGTTACCATTGCGCACAGGACGCTGTCATATTGGTCACTCTCTGGCAGGATGGCCTGGTCACTGAGGCCGTTGCTCAGCACATCCCTGTATTCAGAGAGGAAGCGAGGTCAATGCATTGGCTCCTGAAGAGCAGCGGAGTCCGAATCAGACTGCACCGGACCGGACCGGACCAGACCGGCCCCCCACCATCCTCACTTGGCCGCAGGTTTGTTCTCATGGGTGCTGTCCCTAACGCCGACTCATCCGAATCTCTGCCGCCCTCATCACAGAACCCCTACAGTGTGGAGAGAGGCCATTTGGCCCATCAGGTCTGCACCAACCCTCCCAACAGCATCCCACCCAGACCTACACCCTTACCCTACCCCTGTAACCCTGCATCTCCCACGGCTAACCCACCCAGCCTGCGCATCCCTGGATACTATGGGGCAAGTTCCCTTGGCTAATCCACCTTAGCCTGCACATCTTTGGACTGTGGGAGGAAACCGGAGCACCCGGAGGAAACCCACGCAGACAGGGGGAGAATGTGCAAACTCCACACAGACAGTCGCCTGAGGGTGGAATTGATCCCGGGTCCCTGGTGCTGTGAGGTAGCAGTGCTAACCACCGAGCCACTATGCTGCCATCGCTAATGGTAAATTCCATTCACCCCCTGTATATATCCCAGCCCCTGAAACATCCCCTATTTAAAATAATCACCTCTGTCTTCGAAAGGTCTGATCCCCGAGATGGGCTGGGGAGGGAATTTCCTTACGAGGAAAGTGTGGACAGGCCGTGCTTGTATCCATTGCTATGTAGAAGAATGAGGGGAGATTTTATCAAGACATAGGAGATTCTGGGAGGACTTGATAGGCTGGATGGTCAGAGGATGTTTTCCCTCGTGAAGGAGGTCAGCTCTAAGGGGGACGTAGATTAAAAATAGGGGTTGTCAGCCAATAAAGACAGAGATGAGGATGATTTCTATTTCCTTGCAGAGGACTGTGTGTTTGTGGCAGTCTGTTCCCTCAGAAAGCAGCGGTGGGAGTGGGGTCAGTTAAGGGATAAGTAGATAAAGGTTCTTGACCATCAGAGGGTTATTGGGGTGGGAATTCAGATCATAATGAAATCTTATTGAGTGGTGCGGTAGGCTGTGTTGAGATTGTAATGAGGTCAGCCAGCTGGACATCGGAGAATAGGAGCTCCCTGACTGGGGCTGTTAATCTGGTCCAATCAAGGAGCCCTGGCTGATGGCTAAAAAGGGAGTGTCAGAGGTATTGACCCTGTGGTACCTGACCCTGTATGAGGCGGTACTATAGTCAAGGACTGTTTGTGTGTAAATAAAGAGTGACTTAGTGATGGGATACCGGCCTCTGTAGAGTTATTTCAGCCTTAATTACTACTTTCATCAATCCAGCTACAGTCTTTCCCCCTCCCTAGTTCAGTAAACACCTCCAGGCCTACAATTTTCCAAAGAAATCTGCGCTGATCCATTTGTGGCCTTTCCTCCCACCATTCCCCTCCTTCAGCTAGGCCCGAGCTCTGGAATTCCCTCCCCTAAACCTCTCCTTCCTCCTTTATAAGCTCTTCAAACCCTCAACTGAACTTCTGAAACCTTTTCTCAACACCCTCCTAGTGCTTGAACATTCCCCTTCAACCTGGTGGGTGTTGAGATGGAAGGGAAAGCAGGGTAAGGGGAGGTGGGGGACCTTTGAGATCGGGGGGGTGGGGATGCGGTGTGTGGGTTGGTAGAAGCTGTTTATGCTGCTGAGTGTTTAAATAAACCACACCTAGCTTCCTACTGGGATTTTCAGGATAGAAATCAGTCTTTTTGGGACGACACCTAGTATTTTTTAAAAAAATGCAAGGATTTAAAGGGGCCTTGCTGCTGTTAGCACTCATTTGGAAACTCATGACCCCAAATTTTGGCCACATTTTTGGGAGCCCTTCTCCAGTTCCTTGATCAAGCCTAACCGAATATCTCTATCTGACTGGAAGCCATCTGTTGTCTGGTTTACAACACCCTTGGGATCCTTCGCTATGTTGAAGGTGCTACGTTGTTGCATGCAGTTTCCCAGCGTGTACAAACACGAGCAGGTTACTTGACTCTGAGGGAGCACCTCACCCCAACAGCTTGCATTTACACAGTGCATTTGAAAATACTGGTGAAAGAGAGTCGTGTTGGCGAAAGTTTTGACGACTTGCACTCCTCAGGACAAATGCAAGAATGCCAAATTTCAATTGGTCACAACAATTTAGAAATTCAAAAATAGGCACAAGACTTACACCGATTGGTTGCAGAGTATGGGTTCCTGTGAACAAATTTACCAAGCTTCAATGAGCTGGTATATGTTCAAAATGGCTTTGAAACACCTACGTTACTTTCTCTAAAGCAAGGCATTAACTTGCTAACCAATTAACATCCTTTTGTCTCACGGTATAAATTGTAATTGGTTAAAAAAAGTTGGCATTCTTGCATTGGTCCTGATGAGTTCACCTCACCACCCAGTCTCTCTTTTCAACAAGACTCGAGTTCTGTATTAATCAAGGGACTAACAGCTTTAATGGAGCAACACTATTTCATTCATTCATGGAATGTGGGAGCTACTGGCTGGGCCATCGTTTATTCCTCATCCCTAACTGCCATCCTGAGAAGCGCTGGTGAGCTGCCTTTTTGAACCACTGCAGTCCGTGTGACCCACAGTAACGTCAGGGAGGGAGTTACAGGATTTTTAGCTCCTAACATGAAGGAATGGCAATATATTTCCAAGTCAGGTGCCGTCCAAGGAGCCCTGGTGAGTTTCTGCGGTGCATCTTTTAGATGGTACACACTGCTGCTACTGACCACTGTCGTAGTGTCATAGTGTCATAGAGATGTACAGCACGGAAACAGACCCTTCAGTCCAACTCGTCCATGCTGACCAGATATCCTAAATTAATCTAGTCCCATTTGCCAGCATTTGACCCATATCCCTCTAAACCCTTCCTATCCATGTACCCATCCAGATGCTTTTTAAATATTGTAATTGTACCAGCCTCCACCACTTCCTCTGGCAGCTCATTCCATACATACACCACCCTCTGTGTGAAAAAGTTGCCCCTTAGGTCCCTTTTAAATCTTCCCCCTCTCGCCTTAAACCTATGCCCCTCTAGTTTTGGACTCCCCTACCCTGGGGAAAAGACCTTGGGCTATTCATCCTACTCATGCCCCTCATGATTTTATAAACCTCTATAAGGTCACCCCTCAGCAGCCGACGCTCCAGGGAAAATAGCCCCAGCCTACTCAGCCTCTCCCTATAGGTCAGACCCTCCAACCCCGGCAACATCATGGGGGATGCCAATCAAGCGGGCTGCTTTGTCCTCGATGGTGTTTCTCCTACAAGGGGAAACTTCCTCTCTGCACTCCCCTTGTCCACTTTCCTCAGGATTAGCTTATGCTTCCATAAAATATATATAAGACATTAAGATATGGAAGATATATTCTCATTCTTCTAAACTCCAATGGGTCCAGGGCCCAACCTGTCCTCGTGAATAAACGGACCCAGGTACTCCGTAAGAATAAAACCGAGGGTAGGTTAGTCCCAAGGTGGTTTGCAATTGTCCTGAATGGTAAATGTCTGCAGAATTCCTGAAGTTGTTGGGCACTTTGAGGGCTGGGTGGTCGGTCATGGAATACAGGGCAAGGTGGGAGGAGGGACTGTTGAGTGACAAGTCACCAGTAGCAGTAAAACGTTCGGGAGCTTCCTTGTTGGGGAGTTGAGGCATGAATTTCCAGAAATTTCACCGCTGGATTGGCCACGGTGTATTAGGGCCCCCACTCTCAGAATCGAGGTGATTGACCGTGACGGGTGCCCCGCTGTGGTGCAGTCAAGGGTGGGTGCGCCAGCCCTGGTGCCCGTCCCTCCCGAATGCCGAGGTGACTAACCTGTAAACGACCGAGAGCTCGATTGTGGAGGTCACGAGCAGGTTATAGTTCTCCAAAGAGTTGCTACCTTCAGTCGTGTCAAAACCTGCACCGATTAGAGAGAAAGAGGGAAACAGAGCGAGATTAATGGAAGAGTTGGAGGTTGTCCCGTTTCTGACCCACCTAAGGAAATACAAATTAAGAGCAAGGTAGGCCATTCAGCTCCTCGAACCTGCTCTACCACTGATTGGGTTGTGGTCTCTACACCCCTTACCCCTCATCCATCAAGAATCTATCTACCTTGGCCTTCAAAACCATTTGATGAACCCACAACCCAGACCATCACACAAACCGACTGCTCATTGCCTCGGGAAGGCATCAAAGACCCCTCCCACTCCGGTTATAATCTCTTCCACCACCTTCTGTTGGGCAGAAGATACAAAAGTTCAAACACACACACCAACAGGTTCAAGAACAGCTTCTTCCCCGCTGTTATCTGGCTTCTGAATGGACCTCCCTAACTTTAAATTTAATGTTGACCTTGCTCTTTGTGTACCTTCTCTGCAGACGTGACATTGTATCCCTCGCTCTGTTCTGTTACCCTAATGCACTTTGTATGGAATAATCTGCCTGTACTGCAGGCAGAACAAAACTTTTCACTGTACCTAGGTACATGTGACAATAATAGATCAAATCAAACCAAAACCCATCCAATGCTCGCTGGGAAAGGATTCCAAAGACTCTCAATCTCCTGAAAGAGAGAAAAAAAAATTCTCCCATCTCCGTCTTAGCTAGGAAAATCTTTATTTTTACACTAGGCTGGAAGGGAGGCCTCACACTGAATTTCAAACAACCAGAGGGAAAGATTACTTGAAGGCGTACTGCCCTGAGCAAACTCAATCTCCAAAGAGTCCCAGGAGGTGGTAATTCGACCCACTGGTGTCTCTGTTGCCTTTCAAATGGAGCAACATCCTATCATTCCCTTCCCTTCTCCCCGGAGCGCCGGCACAGTGTTCCCTTTCAGATTCCTGCTCAAAAGTCCCGATTGAATCTGCCTCCGCCACACACTTGCGGGGGCGCATTCCAGACCCATCTACACCACGGTGCGAAAAGGTTTCTCTCCTGCATCAGCCGGGGACTACCGTCAATGTTGGGAGAGCTGCCCACAGACTAGTTAAGGAGCGACATGACATCGGCACACTCACCAAACCACAGCTTATAGCCCATGGCCCTGAGGATACCCACCTGCGGTGTACGGTTGGGATATAGCGGTTCTGGGCCTCCTTAGCACAGGCATGAGATCTTACGTCCTGTGGTGACAGCAAGGAAGCCTCCTGTGGATTATCACCTCTCATAATGTGCCCCCACAGCATGCACCCGCCCCCACAGCATGCACCCACCCCCTCCCCCCACCCCCAGCTGATGAATCCATGGGTTCAGCGACATAATTCTTTGAAGTTTGCATCACAGCTAGACAGGGTGATTAAGGCAGCATTTGGCACGCTTGCCTTCATTGCTCAGACCTCTGAGTATGGGAGTTGGGGACATCATGTTGAGGTTGTACAGGACATTGGTGAGGCCCTCTTCTGGAGCACTGTGTCCAGTTCTGTTCGCACAGGAAGGATATTTTGTAAGCTGGAGAGGGTTCAGAAAAGATTTACCAGGATGTTGCCGGAAACGGAGGGTTTGAGTTACAAGGAGAGGCTGGATAGGCTGGGACATTTTCCACTGGAGCGTAGGAGGTTGAGGGATGGTCTTATAAAGGTTTATAAAATCATGAGGGGTATAGATAAAGTGAATGGCAGGTGTCTTTACCCTAGGGTGAGGGATTTCAAGACCAGGGGGTGTAGTTTTAAGGTGAGAGAAAGACTTTAGAAAGACATGAGGGGCAATTTCTTCTTACACATGGAGTGGTTTGTGTGTGGATTGAGCTTCCAGAGGAAGAGGTGGATGTGAGTACAGTTACAATGTTTAAAAGACGTTTGGATAAGTACATGATAAGGAAAGGTCTGGAGGGATATGGGCCAAATGTGGGCAGGTGGGACTAGTTTAGTTTGGGACGATGGTCAGCATGGACTGGTTGGACCGAAGGGTCTGTTTGTGCTGTATCACTCTTAGAACAACCAACCAGAGGAAGCATTCAGTATAGCAAGTACACAGACTGCACTCTCAGAAGGTGTATGGACACACTGGATACAACAAGGGCTAAAAAGCTGGCATTCCAGAAACAGCCATGTCACTAGGACAAGCCAATCTGTTGCAGGACAGAAGGCGACCAGAACATCTGGTCTGTCCCATCTTTTTGTAGCAGGACAAATCCAATCCAGCAAATTACTACGGTCAGTCAATCAAATAATCATCAACATTGCAGGGGCTGTCAGTGATAGTTCACTTGAGAATGAGAGGGCACAAATTGAAGACACTGACAAAACAGGCAAACAAACTGACAAGTGAGAAAATGTTTTTGTGCAGCGGCTGGTTACGGTCTGGAGTGGACTTGCCTGAGAGCGTGGTGCAGGCAGGTTTGATTGGAATATTCAAAAGGGAATTCCAGTGTTAACGGAGCAGGAAGAACGGGTTTCGGGGAGAAGGCAGGAGAACAGCATTACGTGAAGGGGTCAGTCGGAGAGCTGTGTAGACAAGATCATGCAGTTTCACTGGTGACAATTCACAGATAACTCCATCTCCTCTTCTGTCTATCATCTATAATCTGGGTTCTCTGGTTCTCAATTCTTCCACCACTGTGAACTGTATCTCACTCTTTACACTATTCAGACTCCTCATGATTGTGACAACCTCGATCAAATCTCCTCTTAATCTCACCTTCTCCAAGAAAAATAGCCACAACTTTCCAACTAGAGTCACACAACACGGAACCAGAACCTTTGGTCTAACTCACTCATGCCGAGCAAGTTTCCCAAATTAAACTAGTCCCACCTCCCTCCCTCATATCCCTCTAAACCTTTCCTATTCATGTACCTGTCCAAATGTCTTTTAAATGTTGTAAGTGTACCTGTGTCTACCACTTCCTCTGGCAGTTCATTCCACACACTAATCACTCTGTGTGAAAGAGCTGTCCCTCAAGACCCTTTTAAATCTTTCTTCTCTCATCTTAAACTTATGCCCTCTAGTTTTTGAACTGCCCCACCCTGGGGAAAAGACCTTGGCTATTCACCTTGTCTATGCCCGTCATGATTTTATAAACCTCCATAAGGTCACCCCTCAACCCTCTACATTCCAGTGAAAAAAAGTCCCAGTGTCTCCCTAAAACACAAACCCTCCAGTTCAGCAACATCCTGGTAAATGTCTTCTGAACCCTTTCCAGCTTAATAATATCCTTCCTGTAATAGGGCAGCCAGAACTAGACACAATGCTCCAGAAGAGGCCTCACCAACGTCCTGTACAACCTCAACATGACGTCCCAACTCCTATACTCAATGCTCTGAGCAATGAGCAATGAAGGTAAGCGTGCTAAATGCCTTCTGAACCACTCTGTATACCTGTGACACAACCTTCAAAGAACTATGTACCTGCACCCTAGGTCTCTCTGTTTTCCTACATTCCCCAGGGCCCTTTCACACCTTTTATGCATGTCCTGGGCGCTGAGATGAGATTCTTGCCTCAGCGAGTTGTCTATTAAGGGGGTCTCCTCCTTGTTAATGGCCTTATTAACTGCACATCTCACCTCATTCATACACAGGATCATTTCTTACCAAACCTGAACAAAACTAGACACTGAAAATTCTTGGCTTTGGTCTCGGGGACAGGATACCTGGTGACTTTAGTTTGTCACTTGTTCCAAAGAACGTCCAACGTTGGTCTCAATATTTCAGGGCATGCACAATGAGCACACAACCCACATCCACACACTTTGGCATCTCACGAGTGCCAGCCTCCAAAAACACTCCATGGCACATCTCTGAAGAAGTCGCCCAGTTATAGGAAGGATATTATCAAGCTGGAGAGGGTTCAGAGGAGATTTACCAGGATGTTGCTGGGGATGGAAGGTTTCCATTATAAAGAAAGGCTGGATAGACTGGGACTTTTTTTCACTGGAGTGTAGGAGCTGACAGGCGACCTTATAGAAGTTTATAAAATAATGAGAGGTGTAGATAGAGTTAATGGTAGTTGCCTTTTCCCTAGGATGGGGGAATTTCAAGACTAGGGGACAACATTTTTAAGGTGAGAAGAAACAGATTTTAAAAAGACACAAGGGGCGAATTTTTTTTTTTTTTTACACAGAGGGTGGTTCGCGTGTGGAATGAACTTCCTGAGCTGTTGAAGGAAATATTAGGGACAGATAAAACGTTTGGTCAAAGGCATATAATTCCTACAGTGTGGAATCGGGCCATTCGTCCCATTGAGTCTGCACTGATCCTCCGAACAGCATCCCACCCAGACCCACCCTGCTACACTGTAACCCTGCATTTCCCATGGCTAACCCAGCTAGCCTGCACATCCCTGGAACACTATGGGGTAATTTAGCACAGCCCAATCCATCCTAACCTGCTCATCTTTGGGCTGTGGGAGGAAACCGGAGCACCCGGAGGAAACTCGCGCAGACACAGGGAGAATGTGCAAACTCCACACAGACAGTCGCCTGAGGGTGGGATCGAACCCGGGTCCCTGGTGCTGTGAGGCGGCAGTGCTAACCACTGAGCCACTTTAAAACCACATAGATTTTAAAAAGCATCTTACAGAAGGACAGAAATATAGCAAGACGCTTGCATTAAAACAAACCATTATAGATTGAACATTGTACGTTTGAGGCCCACCCTCATTCACTCACCAACCCTCGTTCCTCCGTCTCCAGCTGAATAGGCCTCGCTGTGCTCAGTGGGTAGCCTGAAGAGCAGGACAGTGGAAATCGGCCCATCCTGTTGTACATTCCAACTCTGCAGAACAACTGGACTTAAAATAGAGACAGCAGGTGAGAAACCCGCACAAAGACAGGGAGGAAGGGAAGAGAGAGACTGAGGCATGGGGAAGGGAGAAAGTGAGGCAGAGCGGGCTGGGAGGAGATTCCAGATCCCGACACATAAGGAGCTGAAGGCACGGCTGACAATGCTGGGGAAATAGCTGGGATGGGGGCTCGTTACTTTCTCGCGACTGGCAACGGGCCATTTCTGACCTTTAGATTCCTGATCCACGTGAGAAATACCCACAAATCCATTCTGACAGCCAAAAGCTGTCAAACGTCTGGTAGAATCCGGAATATTGACCACGTCAAGCCAGAGGACACTGTAATGATCAGACACAAAGATAAACAGGTGTTAGCACTCACATCCCTTACTCCTTCCCACACGCACATAGTGAGACAACAAACAAACAGACAGAGTGACAGCGCGTGAGACTCAGAAACAGACAGAGGCAATCTAAAGGCAGGTCATTAGACTGACTCCAGGGTTTTGTCTTATGAAGAGAGATTGAGCAGTTCAAGACCATACTCTTTGGAGTTTAGAAGAGAAAAGAGATTTAAAGGAGGCATATAAGATACAAAAGGGGATTGACAAAGTAGATGTAAGGAAGAATGGTTCCTCATAGTGGGGCAATCTGGAATGAGAAAGGTCATAGTTTTAGGCTAAGGGACGGCAGGTTTAAAACAGAGATGAGGAGAAACTACTTCTCTCAAAGGGTCATGAATCTGTGGAATTCACTATCCCAGAAGTATGGTGGATGGGCAGGCACGGAATAAATTTAATCATAGAATCTCTACAGTGTGGAAGTAGGCCATTCGGCCCATCAAGTCCACACCGACCCTCCGAAGAGAATCCCATCCAGGTCCAAACCCTTATCCAATGTCTGTAACCCTGCATTCCCCATGGCTAACCCAAGCTACACATCTCTGGATACTACAAGCAATTTAGCACAGCCCATCCACCCTAACCTACACATCTTTGGACTGTGGGAGGAAACCGGAGCATCCAGAGGAAACCCACGCAGACACAGGGAGAATGTGCAAATTCCACGCAGACAGTCACCCGAGGGTGGAATCAAATCCAGGTCCCTGATGCTGTGAGGCAACAGTGCTAATCACCGAGCCACTATGGTTACCCCCAAGGGTAAGGGCAGGGCAGGAGGAGACAGATATTTAATTAGTAACGGGGTTGAAGGTTTATGGAGAGGTAGCAGGAAAGGGCAGTTGAGGCTGAGATGAGATCAGCCATGATTGTATTGAAAGATGGAGCAGGCTCGAGGAGCCTCCTCCTGCTCCTGGTTCTTGCGAGAGCAGATGAGAAGAGGGAGAGAGAAAGGATCTGTGAGCAGCACACAGAGAGCCACGGAGCTGTGACATCCCAATATCTAGCTTCTCACGCGCAATGTAACAGTGCAACCAATGTTGGAAGTCTTACTGGCTAGGAAGGCCTGTTAACTCGGGGAATATTAATCCTGTTGGCCTTTCTTCAAACTGATGCAATGTTTCGTTCTGTGAGACAAAGGAGAGAGAGAGAGAGAGAGAGAAAATAAAAACAGTCACGTGGAATTGCTGAAAGAAAGTCGAAAGTGAGCCACAGCTTGATCAGTAGGGGCTCACCTCTTTGTACAGGTGTATCTGGTGGTCGTGGCCACTGAGCAGGAATACAGTCTCACGTTGGTGCCTCTCCTCGATCCTTGAATGCAGAAAAGAGAGACGTGAAGTTGGCCTGGTGAGAGTAAACAACAGCTGCCTCGCCTCTGCCATGCTATCAACACTGGCTTACTAAAGAGTGAAATCAAGAGGGTGCTCGTCACACAATGGGCCATTGATGTAAGGGATTCACTCCTTCAAAAACCTATGGGCGCGAGGCATCAATTAATCATTTGAAGCCTCAGATTGTTGTAGTTTAGTGCAATGCTTCCCAAGCACTGAAAGTTGGCGCAGCACCTCTGGAGCCGGCAGGAGGCGAGGGCATACAAGAGCAGGGCAAAGGGAGGGAAAAAAATAAAACTAGGAAAATGTGGAAATGGCTGATACTGTACTCCAGTACAACCTGTTCCCAGTTTTACTGATTCGTGCTGGGAATTTGCAGACTCCCGAAACTTCAGCTCGTGATCCCACTTGGGGTTCCGACCATCCACTTTGGGAAGCCTCGGGTTTATCAAGGACGGGCAACTACTGGTGTCACTATGGTAGCAGCACGAACTTTGTGGAGTAACACAGCCCAAGTCTTTCAATGGCGTACATTTCTCTTGCTCCTCGTGAGTTACATTTTGGGATATCTGCGGGAGGGTTCAGGCCTGAAGGCAGATCTGACCCATAGCGCTGCTACCTACCCCACTTGGGATGGGCAAGGGTACAGATGTCCCGCACTTACTTCAGACAAAATGGAGATCGAACTCCCGTACGTTGGCACCAATCTGACCCGCACCAGCTACCAGAGCCAACCAGTCCCTCAAAAGGAGTCCTGGTTCCTATGGCAGCATACACACTTCCACATGTGTGACAATCCAAAGCTTTGGAAGTATTTTCTAACTGACCCGTTTAGGGATGTTGTGACACATCCTTCAGATTGGGCAAGACTGGAATTCAGGCCTCCTGGCCTAGAGGTAGGGAGACTGCCACTGCACCAGACGAGCATACCCCCGCCAGAGGTTTGGATAGTGATGACAGAGACTCCAATGTTTTGAATCACTCTCATTCATACTGTCTGCCAGTGGACAATTTACAGTTTGATATTCAACACACCTTCCTGGTTTGGTATATTAATTTGTCCGCCTCATCTATAGCATTCTGTCAGTCAGCATTTATTGCGCGTCCCTCACTGCCCATTATAGAAAAGACCAGGGCACAGCCTCAGGGTGAAGGCTGACCCTTTAGCATTGAGATTTAGGGGGAATTTCTTCAGCCAAAGGTGGTGAATCTTTTATTCATTAATGGGATGAGTGTGTTGCTGGCCCATCCCTAATTGCCCAGAGGGCAGTTCAGAGTCAACCACATTGCTGTGGGTCTGGAGTCACATGTAGGCCAGACCAGGTAAGGATGGCAGTTTCCTTCCCTAAAGGACATTAGTGAACCAGATGGGTTTTTCCTGACAATCGATTCATTGAATTCCACTATCTGCCGTGATGGGATTCGAACATTACCTGGGTATGGAATAAAAATTCAGTGATAATACCACCACCTCCTGGGCCATCACCTCCCCCATGTCTGTGGTACTCACTGCCGCACAGGGCAAGACAAGTCATAGAGATGTACAGCACGGAAACAGACCCTTCGGTCCAACTTGTCCATGCTGACCAGATATCCTAAATTCATCTAGTCCCATTTGCCAGCATTTGGCCCATGTCCCACTAAATCCTTCCTATCCATATAGCCATCCAGATGCCTTTTAAATGTTGTCATTGTACCAGCCTCCACCACTTCCTCTGGCAGCTCATTCCATACACATACCACCCTCTGTGTGAAAATGTTGCCCCTCAGGTCCCTTTTAAATCTTTCCCCTCTCACCTTAAACCTATGCCCCTCTAGTTTTGGACTCCCCTACCCTGGGGAAAAGACCTTGTCTATTTACCCCATCCATGCCCCTCTTGATTTTATAAACTTCTATAACATCACCCCTCAGCCTCCGACGCTCCAGAGATAATAGCCCCAGCCTATTCAGCCTCTCGCTACAGGTCTAACACTAACCTCTGCAACGTCCTTGTAAATCTTTTCTGAACCCTTTCAAGTCTCACAACATCTTTCCCATAGCAGGGAGACCAGAACTGAATGCAGTATTCCAATGGCTGCAACATGACATCCCAGAATAGCCTAATTCTGTTCCTGTATTTTATGATCTTATGGGAAGGCAGTGTACTCAGAATTATTTTACATTTGTTTGGGTTTATTTTCTAACTCGAAAGGGGACACACAAGGAAGTGAAGCAAAGAGGCAGAACTCAGGTACTTACTCCACATGGCAAAGCTGGAAGGGAGTGAACTGGAGCTCCAGGTTAAGGCAGCTTTCTGTAAAAGCAGGATCTTGGGTTAGTGTCCACACTCTGCAAAGAACATCACTGCAGTAAACAGTTAAAATTGCTCAGGTCGCCCGTGCCAGGTTATCTCAGGGACCTTGACCCTCATCCACCATATTCTTCCCAACCTATTACACGGAAAGCATCAATAGTGGCTGCACTCTCAGCACTCAGTCTACAATCATAGAATTCCTATAGTGTGGAAGCAGGCCATTTGGCCCATCGAGTCCATACCGACCTGCAGAAGAGCATCCTACCCAGACCCACCCCCCTCCCCTATCCCTGTAACCCTGCATTTCCCATGACTAACCCACCTAGCCTGCACATCCCTAGACACTATGGGGCAATTCAGCATGGCCAATCCATCTAACCTGCGCATCGTTGGACTGTGGGAGGAAACCCACGCAGATACGGGGAGAATGTGCAAACTCCACAGAGACAGTCGCCCGAGGGTGGGATCGAACCCGGGTCCCTGGCGCTGGGAGGCAGCAGTGCTAACCACTGAGCCGCTGTAGTCAGAGGTCATGGATCCCTGCAGAACACTGAAGTTCAGAGGCGCAATCTTCCAGCCTGGATATAAAACCATCAGGGTCAGAGGCTAAAGGCTTAAATTTGACCAAGAGCCATAAAACAATTCAAACACAGCCACTGACTCACGGGCGATGGAATCCAAATTGTACTCGGATCCTGGCTCATAGTCGCAGTAGATATTGAGGAACGGGCTTGCTTTATCGCCAGAGTCCTGTGGGAAAGGAAGTGGTAACGTCAACCTCACAGGGAATTGTAGCCCAGGATCCCAGACATTTATCTTAATTGAGCACACGACGGTATTCACTGGCCATCACTTTGTGACCTGCTGAGACCTGAGAGCAAAGCAATGCAGATGCTGGAATCTGTGCCGAAAACAACAAATGCTGGAAATCACAGCGGGTCAGACAACATCTATGAAGAGAGAGTGAGCTAACATTTTGAGTCAAAACGTTAGCTTGCTCTCTCTCTCTCTACAGATGCTGCCTGTCCTGCTGCGATTTCCAGCGTTTTTGGGTTTCACTGCTATCATGACTATGTATGTATATAGTTGATTTTATGAATAAAGTAAATTTTTGAAATTATAAAAAAAGGATGGGCAACAAATATCGACCTTCCCAATGATGCCCACATCCCACTAAAGAATAAACAAAGTCAATTCTTTCTTACATTGAGGAGCGTTTTTTTTAAAAAAAGATTTCTAATTATATAGTTCCTTTCACTTGAACCCAGTGTAGAGTTTTGATTGATAGCAGCGACCTCACCTTGATAAAAGTTATTCCCACAACCAGGCCTCGTTTTGGAGCAGATTTGTTGAAAGCATCAATAGATACGATTTCTGCATCCACTAAGGAGGGAACAGAAGAGATTAATTTTAAGAATTTCCGCAATACTACACATCCAGCTCTTAATCTCTTACACTCCTCTCTGGATCCACGGCACAGATTTTGGGCAGATTGCATCCATCCTGGGTTCAAATCCCAAGACTCTCACACCTCCTGTCTCATAGTTTTCAGACACTGCAAGTCCCTTGACCATCCCTTACCTCCTCAGGTCGTCTGTGTTGTTCTCACATAAATGATCTGGAGGAAGGTATAGATGGTCTGATTAGCAAGTTTGCAGATGACACTAAGATTGGTGGAGTAGCAGATAGTGAAGGGGACTGTCGGAGAATGCAGCAGAATATAGATAGATTGGAGAGTTGGGTGGAGAAATGGCAGATGGAGTTCTATCCAGGCAAATGCGAGGTGATGCATTTTGGAAGATCCAATTCAAGAGCGAACCATATGGTAAATGGAAAAGCCCTGGCGAAAATTGATGCACAGAGAGATCTGGGTGTTCAGGTCCATTGTACCCTGAAGGTGGCAACGCAAGTCGATAGAGTGGTCAAGGAGGCATATGGCATGCTTTCATTCATCGGACTGAGTACAAGAGTTGGAAGGTCATGTTACAGTTGTATAGGACTTTGGTTCGACCACATTTGGAACACTTCGTACAGTTCTGGTCACCACATTACCAAAAGGATGTGGATGCTTTGGAGAGGGTGCAGAGGAGGTTCACCAGGACGTTGCCTGGTATGGAGGGCACTAGCTATGAAGAGAGGTTGAGTAGATTAGGATTATTTACGTTAGAAAGACGGAGGTTGAGGGGGAACCTGATTGAGGTCTACAAAATCGTGAGAGGTATGGACAGGGTGGATAGCAAGAAGCTTTTTCCCAGAGTGGGGGACTCAATTACTAGGGGTCACGATTTCAAGGTGAGAGGGGAAAGGTTTAAGGGAGATATGCATGGAAAGATCTTTACGCAGAGGGTGGTGGGTGCCTGGAACGCGTTGCCAGCGGAGGTGGTAGAGGCAGGCACGATAGTGTAATTTAAGATGTATCTAGACAGATACATGAATGGGCAGGGAACAGAGGGATACAGATCCTTGGAAAATAGGTGACAGGTTTAGATAGAGGATCTGGATCGGCGCAGGCTTGGGGGGCTGAAGGGCCTGTTCCTGTGCTGTAATTTTCTGTGTTCTTTGTACAACTAATGCTCTCTCATTTATACTCTCCTATGCTTTCAGTCTTAATCCCAAGCCTTGAGCTCCATGACAACCCTTCTTATTCTACCAACAATGCAATTCTTCTGGAAGAGATATTAAACCAAGGCATCTGTCTGCCTCTTGGTTGAATGAAAATGACCACATGGTACAAGCAGGAGAGTGCTCGCTGTCAATATCCATCCCCAAACTGCATCTAAAATAGACTGCTCATTTATCCCATTCCTGCGAGTAGGATCTTGCTGTATTTCCTATACTAAAACAGCAATCACACATTAAAGAAAAAATTATGTTTCCACTGGCTGTAAAGCACCTTGGCATATGACAGGTGCTAGATAAATGCAAGTCTCCTGGCTGGTCTCCCATAGGGAAATCATACAAACTCTGCTGTCTGTGCTCTAACTTACACTAAGTCCTGCTCTGTTAACGTTGCTTAGTTCACTGACTCCCAGTCAAGGCAACATTTTAATTTCAAGATGTTCATTTTCACATCACTCTATGTCCTCCGGCTTTCCTAATCTCCTCCACATCTACAACCCTCTTGCACTCCTTTAATTCTGGCCTCCCATGCGCCCCCCATTTTAAATCAAACCAGCACAGGAAGCTGTCGACTGGAGGGTCCTGGGAATTCACAGGCAGGAGCTGGGAGGGTCTGGTGTAGGAGTCTCCCAGGTGAGCATTTGGACCCCAGGTGGATTCACAAGCTGAGATTTTGAGGTTGTGTGCTTTGAAGCAGAAATGGTCAACACTCCACCCTTTCCCCCTGACTTGATTCCTTTACTGATTAAAAATCTGTCATAGAATCCCTACAGTGCAGATAAGAGGCCAATCAGCCCATCTAGTCTGCTCTGACCTGTACATCTTTGGACTGTGGGAGGAAACCAGAGCACCCGGAGGAAACCCACGCAGACACGGGGAGAATGTGCAAACTCCACACAGACAGTCGCCCAAGGGTGGAATCAAACCCGGGTTCCTGGTGCTGTGAGGCAGCAGTGCTAACCACTGAGCCACCATACTATGTCCATTTTAGCCTTCACCTGACGAAGGGGCAGCACTATGAAAGCTTGTGATTTCAAATACAGGTAGTCCTGCTATAAGAGATAGTAGGAACTGCCGATGCTGGAGTCTAAGATAACAAGGTGTGGAGCTGGATGAACACAGCAGGCCAGGCAGCATCAGAGGAGCAGGAAAGCTGACGTTTCAGGTCTGGACCCTAGTCCTGCTGTAATGCATGTTTCATTAATGTGATTTGGCTGTAACGCAATTGATGAATAGCGAATGCTGTTTGGATAACGCAAACTTTCTGCTGTACCGGTATAGGGATTTTCTGTAGCGATTTCCCTATAACACAATTTTCTACAGCAATTTTCTATAGTGCAAGGTCACACAAGAATGCAACTATCACGTTACAGGAGAACTACTTGTTGGACTATAACCTGCTTTTTGGTGACTTCTGACTTTGCCCACCCCAGTGCAACACCGGCACCTCCACATCATTGCAGCCTTGGATACACTTAATGACTGAGCCTCGACAGCCCTCTGCAGTGAAGAATTCCACATATTCATTACCCTCTGGCGTGAGAAATTCCTCTTTATCTCTGTCTTAAACATGCGACCCCTTATTCTGAGATGATGTCCTCTGATCCTAGGCTCTCTCCCACGAGGGGAATCTACATCTCTGCACCTATCAAATCCACCTGAATGTCCAGATGCCCCTCTGGCCAGCCCTGCCAGGACAGGGAGTGGTCAGTTGAGGAGGGGGAGAGGGGAAGG